AAGTAGGAGCAACCCCCCTGGGCACAGAGTCCTGATTTTGTGAACAGCATTGCAGCGCTGAATATGATGTAGGAGGAAACATGCTTCAAAGAATGACACAGAAGCATAGGCCGGGGCTATCTCTTGATGGGGGGGTGGGTGGGGATGAAAAGTGGTGATTCATTTATTTGTGCTTTTCCTACTTTTGAAAACTTGCGTCAGCATTCTAATCACTGGAATAATGATTAAAATCCCAATTATGTTAATGCTGTTAATACTAGGTCTTCTTCCCTGGTTAACCAGGGCCCATCCTGGGGCTCTGAGTGCGGAGAGGCATGGACAGGCCATGGGGCAGGCCCAGGTTGTCTTAAATCCTACCTCTTTGCTCGTCTTGTGCTAGCATTTCCTTACTATTCTGGCTCAAATGCTACCTGACCTCAGTTTGAACCCCTCCACTGATGGGGAACTCATTAACTGAAGAGGTCTTTTTGGAGAAGTGGACATCTGGCTCCCTTTAGCTCCCCGCAGTCCCAGTTCTGCTGAGAACAAGGCTGCTCCCCAGCCCCTCGACAACAGAGGTTTTCAGGCAGTGGTGCAGCGCCGGGCTGAGACCAAGCATGAACCCCATTGACCTCTCAGGGATATTAATGCCCCCCCATCCCCATATCCTTGTTTGCTTTGAATACCATCCAGACATGATGTCCTCAGAGTGTAACTCGTCCACACCTCCCCACGACGACGGCATTCACATCACCTTTTACGAAGGGCAGGTTGTCTGCCGGTGTGGTGAAGCCTCCACTATGCGCATTCTTCCATCTAAGGCTGAGCACAACCCTGTGACCCAGGGACTGCTATCATACCTACCGTACCGCTGAGGAAGGACGCTGAGGCGCAGAGAAGCCAAGGTCACTTATTGGATCCGGAACTACAACAGCACTCAGTCAGCAGTGACTGAGTTAACAAAGGAGCAAGGAGCCTGGGTGGCAGCAGGGGGCAGTTCGAACTCACCCAGCTGTTTCACGGAACAAAGGCCCAGCAAACTGCTTCCATAAGATTACTGCTTCCACAAGATTACTGCTTCCACAAGATTACTGCTTCCATAAGATTACTGCTTCCATAAGATCACGGCCGCGGGATCTCTATGGAGCAGTTCTTGGGATCTCCATGAGTCAGAACCAACTTGATGGCAGACGGGAACACGAATCTGAGGCCCAGGCCCTTACCATATGGGCTTAATTCAGAGTGACTTGTGCCCATGTCTGTCTTTTCCACATCATTCGTCTCAGTCCCCCCCAACGCCCTTCACAACGACCTGGCAGAGCTCAGGAAGAGCCCCCGAATGCCTGGCCCACTGAGTAACTTTGGCCTGAGACGCAGCTTAGGGGGCAGTGTTGACACAGGGCTTCTGATGCCCACTCAGGCTGTGGTGCTTCTGCTGGAGCTGAGGTCCTGGGCTCTAGGGAGAGGAGACATCACGTTGGAGACACTGCCACGTGACACAGAGGGGCGTGACCATGAGACTCAGGCGATGGAGAGCTTGCCGGGGATGAAATGCAGCTGGCTCCTCAGCCTGCCAGGCAGCCCCACTCATTCATTCACTGGGATTCCAATCTTCTCCGACATGGCGACCAGAGCACTCGGCACATCTACTTTAAGGGGACCCCCGGCTTGCCATGAGTCAGAACAGACTCCGAGGCTGTGATTGTGTTTTATTTTTGGTTTAAGAGGTCCTAGCAATTATCTCCTTGTCCCGAGCCAGGGTGGCCCCTTGGTAAGTCCCCTATCTACAGCGCGCCCCATCATACTGTGCTTGATTTGGCTCAGCCTCTGCTCAGGAAGTTCCCTCCCCACGTGGCTGCACAACTCCTACTCAAGGCTCAACACTCCGTCAAGGTTGGCCTCCTCTAAGGGACTTCCCTGCAGCTCTCAAGGCTGGACTTGGCACCTGGCTAACTCCTTGAGCGACTTGTGTCCAGCCCTCAGTGACCCACTCTAATGTGTGCCTGCTCTTGGCTCCCAGGAGACACCAGTTGGGGAGTGCAGAACACTGGCCTCCAGTACACAGCTCTGCCACCCCCTAGCTATCTGACTGTGGACACAGCACTCCTCGCTGAGCTCCAGTCTCCTCCCAGCTCGGCCTAGCTCTCAAGGTTTGTGTGAGCCTCCGCAAAGATAAGGATGTGGAAGCTGCCTGTGAGCTGCCACTAGGTGTGAGTCACTGCTACCCTGACCTGACCCTCATCCTTGGCGTGCCCCGCCCAAACCCAAAGCAGAAAACAAACCCACTGTCATTGGGTCGATTTTGAATCATAACAACTCTACAGACCGGGTCTCCAACACTGGACATCTCGATGGAAACCAATGGCCACATCTTGCTCTCATTAAATGCCTAGTGGACTCAAACTGGGTGACCTTTGTGATAGCAGCTGGACACATTATCCCCTATGCCACCAGGGTTCCCACAGGGCTGAAGTTGGGCAAGAGCGCAGACATGAACTTAAAACAAAACCAGTCATACAGGGGCAGGGGCCTAGCATTGGTGGGGCAGAGAGGACAGGTTAAGCGGCTCTGAGGCACAACAGACATGAAGGTTTTCATGTCAGAGGGCTTTTGTAATGGCAAAGAAGCCATTGGCGGCACGAGGCTGGGAAAGGAATGCCCAGAGAGTTTGCTTGAAGTTGTTCTGTAACCTCAGACCCTTCCCTTCTCTAGACGGCAACCTCCATCGGTGCCAACTTTACATGCCCTTCACAGCTCGGGCCAGAGGGGTCCAGCTCAGGCTGTGCCAGGGCGAGACTGGCTCAGAAGGGTGGGAGGCACGCACAGGACAGGACTCTGCAGTCTCCCCTCCCAGCCTCTGGAAGGGCTGAAGCTGGAGCAGGCTGGGCTCCTCCCCCAGTTTCTTCTGCTGGCTGGAATCTACCCTTGGCCCACTTTGCAGACGGAGAGGTTGATGCACGAGCAGAGCACACAGGCTCTCGGATCTGTAGCTATCATCCTGTTTGCCACCCTCACCACTGAGAGCATACGCTCCCAACCTGACTTGGCGTACAAAAGCCAATTACTCAGCGCCCCCCTTGACAGAAGTGTTTGTGCTGTACTCCACAATCCAGTATGAAGTATAGGTGTCTGCAGGGTAGCACTGACTGAGAGGGAGAAACTGAGGTCCAGGGAGGGGGTGGAGAGAGCTTACAATCGTCATGTAGCATGTTTGTAGCACAGCCAAGTCTTAAACTCAGGACTGATGTCCACCTGTCTGTGAGCCCTGGTTCTATAGTGAGTTGTAGGGTGGTCAGCAGTTTGAAACCACCAGCTGCTCGGCAAGAGAAAGATGAGGCGGAAGCTTCCTACTCTGTAAAGAGTTATAGTCTCGGCAACCCACAGGGGCAGTTCCACTCTTAGAGTCATTAGGAGGTCAGAATCGACGGCAGAGAGCTTTGTTTGATGCTCTCCTCTAACAGTTTGATTGAAAGTCCCAGGTCAGATCCTGGGTTTATCCTCCTCACCTAGCAGCCACGAGGCCCTGCCTCGGTTTCCGCACTAGAGCCTGGGAAGGCCTATTGTTTTCAGAGACTGAGCTTGGTGTGATTTTTTTGAACTGGAAACCAAGGAGGAGCAGGGGTCACACCAAAACTCCTTTCCCTGGAGGAGACATAGAACGGAAGAGATACTTTTGGTTGGGAGTCAGACTGGATACCCAGTAAGCTGAAATGCCTGTGCTCAGTGCACCAGCAAACAGGAGCAGAGAGAGAGAGAGCGAGAGCGAGAGCGAGAGAGATCTGATTTCAATGCACTGTGACTAAATATTGTCACCATTCAAGGAGTCCTAGTGGCTTGCTTACAAGTTAGGATGCTAACTGCAAGGTCAGCAGTTCAAAACCACCAGCTGCTCTGAGGGAGAAAGACGAGGCTTCCTGCTCCTGCACACAGTTAGTCTCAGAAGCACACAAGGGTAGTTCGGATCTGCTTTATAGGGTTGCTATGAGTGAATCATCTCCATGGTAGTGATTTTTTTTTTTTTGAGCCCCAGTTTGGGGCCTCTTAGGTCCTTAAATTGTGCAGCCATCTAACCCCACCTGGCTGGCAGGCAGCAGGTGTAGGGAAGAGGGCCAGGAGTCAGGAGATTTGTTTTAGCTGTTAGAGGACTAGCTGGTCCTTCCCCTCTCTGGGCCTCAGGTTACCTATCCTGGAGGAAGTTGTCCTCCTGGCTCCGGGCTATGACCTTCTGGACTTGTCAGACCCCAAGGGGCAGCTGGTCCCACTGCAAGAAACCTGAGTACAGTCCCCTGGGCCCTAACCCAGCTCTGAGGCCCCCTGGGACAGGAATAGGAAGGGAGGGGGAGGGAAGCAGAAGGCTCTACATCTCCTCCCTGGGACTCCTCCCAGCTTCCCCCAGGGCAGCCACCAAGCGCCCAGCCCCAAGCCTGGAGGAGGCCTAGAACAGAGAGAGCTTCGGCAACTTGAAAGCCTATAGGAAGGGCCTGGACATCTTGTTAAAAGGCGGCGGGTTCAGTTTGAAAAGGTCTGGGGCAGAGCCTGAGAGTTTGCCTTTCCAACAAGCCCCACGGGGTGCCGATGCTGCCAGTCCGTGGACCACTCAGCCAGCAGCAGGGCCCTAGAGGTTGTCTGCCTCTGAACCAGTGGGGAAGCCGGAAGGCAGGCCCAGAGAGGTCAAGTCACTTGTCCAGTGCCACACAGCGCGAATAGCCCCGGGCTGGAGGGAAAGGGCACCTGCTACCGACACTGAGCATTCCCATACTCTATGCGGCCGGCATCCGCCGCCCTGCTCGGGCCCCGGGGCTGTGTTTGCAAACTCCTCGCTGCCCTGAGCGCGCGGCTCAGCCCCGAGGCAGGCAAGGAGTGTCGCCCGGCGGATTCTTCCTGCCTCCGCGCCGGCCTCGCTTGGTGTTCCGTTCGGGGCGCCGAGGGACCCCACCCGCGGATCTACTCGGAGCTCTGCCCGCGCACCCGCCCCCCCAACCCCCGTCCCCCCCAACGCAAACTTCGCTGGCGCCCTTTACCTTTTTGGGTGGTTTGCAGCAGCTCAGCTTGCTGCGTCCGCTGCCCATCCTCCTCCGGGGGCTCCCGGACACCGCCTTGCAACTCCGGGGCCCCCAAGGGACCCAGCGGTGGCGGCCCCGCTGCGCGGTCCACGCCCTCCAGCGGCCGGGGCTGCCGGGCAAGACCCTGAAACTGAACCTGGAAGCGCCGACTTAAGCCCGAGCGGCGGCGCGGCCGCGCGCCGTAAATACCCGAAGAGCAGGGCCTGCACTAAGCCCAAGAGGCTAGGGACACCGCTGGCCCTCGGCAGGTGACCAGAATCTTTGTGAATCATAGGAACCTCAGGCCTGGGCAGAGAAAAGTCCGTTTGGGCAACAGATGCTCTTCCAAGCCGACTCACAGAGTCCCTGGAAGAAAGGGTAGCAGGACCCTGTGGGTTTCTGAGCCCAACTCTCTGCTGGAGTAGAAAGCCCCATCGAATGGGGGCTGCTTCTGCCCCAGCTGCTTTGCATATACTATTTCTATCTCTTGTCATACCCGTGCAACAAAGGCAACTTGCCAAAGTTCAGACATCTAGGAAGTTTCAGAGTCCAGAGAGAACCAGAAACTGAGCTTTGAACCACTTATCTACAAACAAGATCATAATACTGTGCTGCATGGTAATGCCGCCTCCTTTCTGGGCACAGTTTTTCCAGCTCACAGGCATCATCAGTAAGCTCCAACTGTGTCATCATGGTCAGTCTCCGGCCTAATAGCTTGCGCAGCCGCTTGGCTCGAAAGGGGCTTTTAGTCATCCTCACTTTGTGACGCGCTGAGATTTTGGGGTGGGGGTGGGGGTGTGAAAACGCAGGGGAACGACACCCTATGCGGAAGCACAGTGTGCGTTCCTGTCTGTGCACCGTCAAGTGGCAGCAAAGGCCAGAAGCCTTTGGGAAGCTGTGCTGAGGAAAGAGCCCGCCTTGGTTGTCTTGGGCTACCAAAGTACCACACACTGGGTGCCTTAAAGCAACCTAAACTTATTAGCTACCAAGTCTGGAGGCTAGCTGTTCAAGTTCAGGGCATTGGCAGGGCCATGCTCTGGCTGAGGGCTCTACCATCACAAGTTAGAACCCTCCCTTGTGGCCCCAGGTGTTCCTGGCTTGTGTGGCAAAGCTCCAATTCCTGACCCCCTCCCCCCACCTCCTCAGATCTTCCCTCTGTGTCTCCTCTCCTTTCCTCTCCTCTCCTTATAAGGACACCAGTCATGTTGGATTCGGGTCCACCCTATTCCAGTAGGACCCCCATCTGAACTATCATCATATCTACACAAAAGAAATGCTCAAGCGAGTTTGCATTCACAAGTACAGGGGGCTGAGACTTGAGCATATCTTTTTGGAGGGAAAAATCCAACCCATAACAGGGATTGACAGTCGTGAATGCGGGGAGAAGCTCCCCTCCCCAGAATATAAATAAGACCATTGCCCAAGGTTCTGAGAAGGGACACTTAGGGCTTATTAGGTTCTCAGACAGAAACATAATGCAGGTTTTGTAGGTTCGTAGAGTGTGACCCCTAAACCAAAAGCTTCCAAGGAACTTGTTAGAAACGAACTCTCAGCCAATCGGACCCCCCCATGTAAATTCCAGGGGCGGGGCCTCGGAGCCTCATTGAATAAGCCATCCCCACCATTCAGGGCACTTTCAAGTCTGAGATCCACCACTGCAAGGGAAGTGCCCACTCACGTTACCACTGTTCAGCAAACCAGCGCTCATGCTTTAACTAGGAATGAAAACAAATACTCAAGAAAAGAGAATTCATTAAAGTAGGAGCCAGCCATAAGGATGCCTTTGCAATTGGAATGCTGATGAAAAAGGATATTACAAAGTATCATATCCATGTAAAAAAATTAAAACCTCAATCGCAATTACTCTAGAGATGGAACATGCGGTTAATAGCTCCCATGAGCAGTTGTTTCCCGGGGGATCAGAAGAACTGACTGGTGCCCAGCTAGCATTACGCGATGCTTCGATCAGTTTCTACAGAAGAATCCTGGTCGAAACAGGGGGAAGGCAGGAATTTCAAGTTCTCCATGGAATTCAGACTTTCTGAAGTCACTTATAGTCACGAACGAGGAAAGAACAATGGGCTGCAAAATATTAATTAAATTGTAAGCCTAACCCTTCATACACTGCTGGAGAGCGTGTGTAAACGGTGCCACTCCTGTGGAAGATGGTACAGTGCTTCCTCAAAAAGTTGAACTGGAAATACTGTGTAACTTGGCAGCCCCTCTACTTGGTTTATGTCCTACAGCAGTAAGAGATCGGACATAAATAAATAAATGCACATGCGTGTTCGTGGCAGCACTATTTACAACAGTCAATTTTTACAACCTATTTACTATTTACAACCTAACATACATATAATGGAATACTACTTAGCATTAATGAATAACAATGAGTCTGTGAGATCCACAGAAATGAGAGCGATGAATCTGGACATTATACTGAGTGAAAGTAATCACAACAAAAGACAAATATTGTATTAGACCACTATTATAAAAAAAAAGCCAAGAAAAGTTTTTTCCACACTGAAAGAAATAGGTTGTGATGGTGACTGTGATGAGGGAGGGGGTGAGGGGGAGGGAAAGTCTGGCTAGAGCAGTGGTTCTCAGCCTGTATGTCCTGACCCCTTTGGGGAGTCGCACTACCCTTTCACAGGGGTCGCCTAAGCCCATTGGAAAACACATATTTCTGATGGTCTTAGGAACCGAGGTCTTAGGAACCACTCCTCTATCCTCTCCAGAGGGATCCGCCCACATACAGATACACCCACATACAAGCATCCATCTCAAAGACTGTTACCCATGCTAAAGCATGCTTCAAGACAACATTTCATTTATTTGTGATTAGAAATAAATATTTCACAATCTATAATTGCATATTGTTTTGTGATTCATCACTATGCTTTAATTATGTTCAATTTGTAGCAATGAAAATACATCCTGCATATCAGATATTTATATTATGATTCATGACAGTAGAAAAATGACAGCTATGAAGTAGCAACGAAAATAATGTTCTGGTTGGGGTCACCACCACATGAGGAACTGTCTGAAAGGGTCTCGGCAATAGGCAGGTTGAGAACCACTGCGCTGGAGGGTAGACAAGTGGTGACTTAGGTGAGTGGGGAAGGTGACATACATTAGAAGGAGGATGGCAAAAATGAGTAGAAGCAGGGGAAGACCCTGGGCGGAGAGCGAGAGTTAAAGGCAGCAGAGGTAAGTACTGTATATCCATGACCCACAATAATGATGGTCTTCCCATAGATAACTGCAGACTGAATGGGTGGAGGAGGAAGAGTGGGAGTAGACCCAGAGATAGGCACAGGTTCAACAGGGCCTATCTGCACACGGACATTTACCTGTGCTGCCAATAGATCCTCTAATGTGGCGGGGTACATACAGGGGCCAAGGTCATGACAACCACTTAGACATAACCAAACACCTTGAGGGGACACTTTGCTCAGAACCGTAGTTCAAAGGACACAACGTCCACTGGTATAACCTAGTTCACAAAGGCAATGTTGTACATTCTAGCTTGCTGAGCAGTGACCGGGGTCTCAAATGCTGGTGAGCATTATCTAAGGTATACACACTGGTCTCTCCCCCCCTGGAAGAAAACCCAAAGATACATGGAAGCAATTAGTCTAATGGAAGAATGGACATGGCAAAATCAGTGTCCACAAGCTGGAGGCCAGCGGAATCAGAGGATGCCCAGCTATGGCTGTTCTGAGAAGGATTACATTAGTAGGTCTTGGATAGAGTGGGAGCAAAAATGTGTAACAAATTTCATAATCATAAAAGAGATCTACTGTATTACTGGTC